CTGTTCAGAAGTGAATTAATTATCTGGGGAACTGTCAGGCTTTTAAATTTCCGAGGAAGTTAGTATTTGCGTGCCTAATAAACGTTCGCACTCTGAGCGCTCAGTGAATGCTTCTAGAATGGCTGAACCGCGCAGGTAGGGCAGGCTTCTGCGGAGATGAGCCCCTCCACCCAGGAGCATGCCCCGGTCGGTGGGCTGCCGCCGAGGCCGCACCTACCTGCCCTCGCCCTCGCCCTCGCGGAAGCTTTTGGGCAAGGAAGGCGCAAGATTGGCAAGAGCAAAGCGAGGGCGAGCGACGCCGATGTGTCTGACGAAATAAGAGGCAAAGGGTGGTGTGGAGAGTTCCCAACACTGTAGATGTGGGCAGAGATTTTAGCCTTTTGCACGTCCCTGCTGTCCAGGGCGTATGCAGTGCGGTGAATAAAAGCTCAGGCTTCGCAGCCAGGCTTCCCCGTTCCAACCTGTGTTCTGACACGAAGCAGCTGTATGACCTCGAGCAAGTCATGTTGTACTCACCTCCAAGGGTTGTTGTGGGGATTCAGTCATAACCTAATCCCTACCGTACAGATGGGGAAAATAAAACATTAATGTACGACAGGCATCCTGCCTGGTAAGCACAGTACACATGTTTGCTTTTGCTATTATTTAGGAAAGCAAAATCCCTGGCTTCTTTCATAAAGAGAATAAAGGTCCTAAAATGACAATTGCAGGGCGCACGCGCCAGGGAAGGTCCAGGCTTCTCGTCCCAGCTCCTCATCTGAAGTCAGCACCGGTCACTTTCCAGGTCATCTCTACGTCTCACTAAAATTATATTATTTCTCAGGTAGCTAGATAAAAAAAATCGCTTCTTGAAATATTAATCAACTTCAGTCTCCTATAGTTGCCTTGTTTCGTGTCTTCTTTTCCTTCGGTGTATAATTTGCCCAAGGCTTTTCCTTCTTAATATTCCCTCTTACTAAGTCTAGCCTAATTATTCCTTTGAAGACAACTCTAATTGGCCCTCAGCATTCATATGTTATTAATTTCAGCCTGTCCCTTGACCCCTTCAAGCAAATCTGGGAAACAAGCCAGAAAAATACACCATTCTTGTAAGACTGGTGGTTTCGTAAACATCCTGCACAAAAACCACTACCTTGCATACCAGAATTACTCCCACAGTGGGTATCCCAAAGCAATGCAAAACCTTAATTCAATTCAGTAGGCAAATTCTGAATTACAGCATTCTCACCTGAAACCTGAGCATGACTATTCTCACTGTAAGCAATAGGCATCATTGAATTTCAATGTTAACATTTTATGCAGGCAAAAACATGAAGTAAACAGTCACTAAAAGTCTATCGAATACAATTTATTTTATTCGTGAGAAGTTAAGCAAGAATAAAATAAACATGTAGTTTCACCTATTGATAATTATCTTTTAGACTGAAGAGTTAATTACAACAAGCCAGGCACATTTCTGCCTCACATTTTGCTTTTGCTGTTTTGTCCGCCTGAAACCTTCTTCCCCACGGATATACCATGCTGCTCCTCCCCCTCCTCAAAATCATCCGGCTTCCCCAAGCCTCCTTCCTTCTGTCTTGGAGAACGTAGAAGGTGGAAGGATCATGGATACTTGGGTCCCTGAGTCACTAACCTCAATCACATTTTGTGAGACAAAAATCCTATGTTGGGCTGAGCCCTTGCAATTGCAGGGTTTGTTTGTTAAGAGAGCTAGCATTCATTATCCTGACTGACACAGTCTCCCTGCCTCCATCCTGCCTTCTATAGCCTAGTTTCACTTTTCTTTGTAGCACTTCCTACCTAACATAAACACCTCTGAACATTAATTACCATGCCCTGTTAGAATTCAGGGCAACGAGTTTGTTCTGGCACCAAGGATAGAGCAATGAACAAAAGGGACATGGTAGGCAACCAGTAAATATTTGCTCAATGAATAAATGAGAAAATGCCTACTTATTTCCTCCTCCGATGATGTCAGCTCTCAGAAGTGGCTCTTACTGTATCTGGGTCTCTTGGGCTGGCTCCTTCTGCTGCCACCTTTAACTGTTTCTGAGGGTAACTAAGTAACTCTGCTCTTCAAACCAACAACCTTAGAGCTGAATCAATCACCTGAAACACCACTGCAGATTTTCTGTGATTGCTACTAATTTCACCGTTGCTGAGTGGGTCTTTATTTTTACAATAACTGTTATTTCTACTTGAAAACCATTCGTATAATGTGTCAAGCATCATACAAATGTGCACATATGACTTTAAACACAGTTTCACCCTCATTGTGTTATATCCTGCTGTGTTTTCACAGCAGCTTTCCCATGCGCAGAGAAGACACTGTCATCGCTGTTGTCAAAGATAGGACACCCAGCTCCAGAGGGGCTGTCTGCTGAGGTCACACCAGGGAGTGACCCAGAAGCTCCTCAGCTGCCCTGAGAACTTTCATCCACTGAGTCATAGGTCTGCACCCTGCAGGTCTCTGAATAACTGTCCTTATTAAAGAACATTGCCCACTTCCTAGAAACTTAGTAGTTAAAGCTTAATGGGAGGTCTAGATTTAAGAACAGTGCTGTGTCTGAAATAAAGGCTACTATGTCCTGGGGCTGCCTTGGGTAAGCCTGGGCTTTGAACTGCACGAAGGCAGGAGGATTTTACCTGCTTTGTTCACTACTATATATACTCAGCATTCTAAATTAAATATTTACTGAATGAGCAAGTGATAGATGAAGCTTTCCAAACCTTGGTCTACAAAAATGGGACTAATAATCCACCTCGTGGGGTCATGTTGGGATTTAATGAAGTGGTACATTCACATGGTATTGTAGAGTGCTCAAGTGAAAAGTAATTTTAGTATAACTAAAAGCATAGTCCAGTTCTTAATTAAAATCATATTTACAAATTCTGTGATTCATTCTTAAGGTGAATTTTTGAGGTATTAATGTGGATGAATGTTCATATTTGGATTCTGTGATTTTACCTTCCTCAGCAGTAGTATTTATAGTTTAGAATATACAAGTACCTAAAAGATACCCAGCAATTTTGAACAAATCTCTCATTTTCCTTTGATGGAGCTCCTTTATACACATTTCTGGTTTCTGCTTCAAAATCAAAATCAGGACCTGACTCAATATTTATTACCTGACAGCTCGCTTCATAAATTATCCTCTTTCTTCAAAACATGCTTTCAGGGGCTGGGGATTTAGCTCAGCGGCAAAGCGCCTGCCTGGCAAGTGCAAGGTCGTGAGTTCGGTTCCCGGTACCGGAGAAAAACATGCTTTCAGTAACAACTCAGCTATTGACTGATGAGAGTTGTGGGACTACTCATCCCTATCTCTCCAGGGTGAACCGGTCCCGAGCACGAGGTGCCTGTGGATGATTAAGAAAAGTAGAAGAAAAAGAGAGGCAAGCAAAACAAGAGAGACAGTATTCTGAGACCAGGGGGCTTACAGCCTCTCAGACTGCTCTCCAATACCAATTTCCATCACCATTATTGAGCGAGAACCAAGGGCTTAGCTAGTACAAATGGGCAGATACCAAACGTTTTAGCAAGGATAGTTAAAGGATTACCCTTCCCCACATGAGATCCAAAACAGGCCTATAATCCCAGCACTCAGGACACGCCTGTAATCCCAGCACCTAAGAGGCTGAGACAGGAGGATGGTAAACTCAAGGTTAAACAAATCATTGTGTCCTCAATGCATTCTAATCAAAGAATGTCCTTCTCCACAGAGTGTTCTTGCAGATATGTTTCCTCATTTGCTGTTTAAATCTCATCTTGAATTGTGGCCTCCGTGTTTCTTCCCATGATCAGTATGTCCACATTTTCATAGTTTGTTTATAAGGCAATATTCCTCAGTGCTTTGTACAAGTCACACATTGTTGAGTCAAAGCCTGAATCTGGCCTAATGTTTGCCTTGATCAGAATTTAAAATACAAGTTTTCCCTTAGAATGATTTGACTTACAATTTTTCATTTGTCCAAAAATCATATGCATTCAGTCAGAACCATGCTTTGAATTTTGAATTTCATCTTTTCTAATGTGTGGTCTGATACTATTTTGTAATACTAGGAGCAGGGAGCTG